GCTTCTTAGCAGTGCAGTCTGTATATGTCCAAAATGGTTTCCAGTTGATTGATCACATTATGAGAACATAATGTCACTTAAAGATTTAATAATAATAAAAATAATAATAATGCATTAGTCTTACATAGCACTTTTCAAGACCCTCAAAGAAACTTTACAGTTTTCATGCATCATTCGTTCACACACACACATTGACACACTGATGATAGTAAACTACACTGTAGCCACAGCTACCCTGGGGCAYACTGACAGAGGCCAAAGGCCAGATTTGGCCAGATCATCTATAATGCCATTTAACAGAAAACAATTCTAATTTAAAACTCTGTCATGGTAGGCCGTGTGTCAATTGCATTAGACTTTATTGTTTTACTATAAAGCAATGTAGAGGTAGCTTCCTGTTGTTAAAACTTTATCAATATAGAGTCAAAGTTTGTAACTGAAGAATAATGAGCTTTAACGTTTCTCCACAGCCTTCACCAGACTGAAGGAAGACATTGGTTGGCGCTACTGTCTGGTCGTACTTGGGGTCATTCAGGCTTCTGTGATTGGCTGTGGCCTCCTCCTTTGTCCAATCAACATCCAGCCAGAGCCTGTAAAGGAGGACAACCAATCAGACTCCGTCTCTCTGAAGCAGATTCAGAGCGTTTATGAACTAGAGAATGAACAAACTCAAACCTCCATCAGTTCAGCAATCTCCAGAGGGTCTGGGGACTCAGGAGTCACGTCACTGTCAGGGTCTGATGAAGACCTGAGGAACGCAGAACCAGAGGCTAAATCTCTAGTGGAGTGGGAGAAATCCTCATCCATAGACTGTCTTGATGTGAAAGTGACAGGGGTAGAGGTGGGTCCTCGCCAGCTCTCCACCCCGAAACTCCTGGACTTCTCAGCCCTTAAAGACTATGCCTTCATATGGTACTCACTCTTCGGCCTGTTTGCCACTCTGGGCTTTTTTGCACCACAGCTTTACATCATCGAACTAAGTAAGAGTCGAGGCGTGGAGCCCACCATGGCCTCATACATGCTCTCTGTGATGGCAGTTGCGGAAATCTTCGGTCGCTTATCAATTGGAGTTGTGTTAAACAAAGTCCGCTGCAAGAAAACCTTGGTGCTTCTGGCGTGTGTGGTCCTGCTGGGCCTCGTTCTGGTGGCCTTCACTGTGGTGTGGGAGTTCTGGGGCCTGGTGGTCTGCTGTACTCTTTACGGCTTCTTATTGGGCACCGTAGGCTCCACGCACATTCCTCTTCTGGCCGAGGAGGAAGTGGTGGGGATCCAGAGGATGCCCTCATGTGTGGGAGTCTATGTCTTCATCCAGAGTTTCGCTGGACTGGCTGGACCMCCACTAAGTGGTAAGATCTCTCTTCCTTTAGTTTAGTTCTGGTTTTGGTTATTGGTAAAGCTCTCTGTAGATCGTAACATCTCATCCTTTGTTCCAGGTATGTTGGTAGATGTCACACAGAACTACGGTGCTGCTTTTTACTCATGTGCAGCAGGCATCGGAGTAAGTGCAGTCTGCCTGGCTATGGTTGGCCTGGCTAAGCCCACAATGTGCCAAAGATGCATCAGAAATCAAGATAAAAGCAAGAACGCTGACGAAGAGGAGAAAATGTCTCATAACAGCTACCAGCTGGACTTCTTGGAAGTAGACTTGGCTGAGGACATTACAGTTCCACAGGTCGATGATCAGAACACCTCGGTTATTTGAATCTGACCTCATCAAAGATCAAACCTGGAGTTGGGCCTGAGCTGCGTGAAGCTGCAGGGTCTTTGACATTACCTGCCGCTAGATCCAAATCTCAGGTGTCGTTCCCTCTGTTAATTATCCACCAACTTGAAAAGTCCACTTCTTCACAGGAAGAAAACCGTCTCTGCTCCGAGACCAAAGACTCATCTTCTGWGCTGAAGCATCGTCACGCCTGTCTGCCCAACAATGTCACACTGTTCTATTCCAGCAGGGTCAGAGCTAACAGAACTTCTAATGAAGTAACTCACAGAGCACCAAAAGAATAAGTCTGCAATAGTTTACTGGGGTTGTGGACCCGTGGACTTGGCGACCACAACCACTTAGACTAATGCAGATGGTGGATGTCATAAACAAAAGTGGGGGTTTCAGTGTGTTTTTTGCAGACGAAAGTTTCTGAATCTACTTTCAAAAGCCAAGTGCTGAATTTATTTTAACCATGTTCTAAAAAAAATGAAACGTTTGTGGGGAAACTGTCCACCTGCAAAAAAATATCTGCAACATTTACTTAAAGCAGTGGATCCCAAACTCTTTATGCTTTATAAGCCTCAACCCAATCAGCCCCAGGCACACACAGTCTCCAACCAGACACAGCATTGTCCAAGCATTATTTTGTCTCATTCAGTGCTGCACCCCCCACTTTTGGAACTCCTGACTTGAAGAATTAAAGCTATTACCTTTTCCTGTGGGACGTTGACACAAGCTGAGCTAGAAAAATATGTTTTAAAATCTGATTGTTTCCTAAATGTTATTAAGATGCACATTCTTGCTGCTTGTATTTAGCTCCAGATGTGATTGTACCAAAAACAATAACGCAGCAGTTTGGTCTATAGATTCTGTGATACCAGAGGATGTTGGATTCTGCCCCATGTTTGGATAAAGGCGTTGTCCTCCTATGTGTATTGCAGAGATGCACATGCCAGTCAAACTGTAAAGCAGTCACACTGCAGATAGTGTAGTGTTTCAGTTTGTTTCGTTAATCTGAGACAACAAACGTCAACGTGTGGATTTAAACATGGTCACATGTGTGTATGCAAACCATGAGAGACTCAACATGAAGTCCTGAGTTGCACCTGTAGTCACTTGAAGTCTAGAATTTTCCATTTTATTTAAATGTTTTACATTTAAAATGTTTTACATTTATTTTCTGTTTTTATACTTTTTTAATTAAGTGCCAGGGAGGTTCCTTTCTATTAGGTGATGTTGCACTTTCATTCTGTAGTTTTTTTTTCTATTAAAAACATAAAGCTCCAACCCGATTACTTTGTGTGTTTTGTCAGGTATGGGTTATTGGGTTTTCTAAGAGGGTTCCTGAAAAGTTTAAAATTMGATGCTTGTATTTTCAAAGACACCCAGAGAGAGTAATCCTCTTTTTTTCTGATTGCAGACCATGGCCCTGTTTTGGATAAGTTGCCCATCTTTAGACCTGTCACAATAAACAATAAATCAAAAATCATACGATAACTTAAAGAATAATTTTCATTTGCCTGCTTTTTCATTTTCTTCGTGTCTCCCTCTTCTTAGCATAGAGAGGAGTGAACTCTGGTGTCAGGTGTTTGCCAGGTGCATGGTCTCCTAACCTCTAGTGTAGTGGTCAGGCCTTATCATCTTAACCTTTCTCACTTGGCTGTGAACCGCTCCAATGAGAGCTGGARATTGTAGCATGACAACAACAAGACCATTTTATCTGCAAATGGCAAAAACTAAATTCTGAGGCCATCAGACTAGACTTTCTCTTCCTCCTGAATGCACTGAGATATTCTGTCCATAAAAGTTATGAACAGAATTGATGACAGGTATCCCTGGACAAGTCCAACTCCCACCAAGAAGGGGCTAGCAATGTGAACAAACACCAGTTGTGTAGTGACTGAACAACAATCGGACCTCCAATCCGCTTCCCCCAAGTGCTCTAGGAAGGAAGAAGAGCTGGTCCAGTGTTCAAAGGCTGGAACTCAACCCACATTTCTGATGTTGGACCATTGATTGATTCTGCAGTATCTCTGAACAGACGTTAATGAGGAGTAGAGTGAAGCCCTGTAATTGGAATATACACTAATTTTTATATCATTTGTAATGTCAATAAGAAAAATTAAACTTTGTTTAGCTGATTATCAGTTTCTGTCCCATGAATGAACACAAAACTAAATGGGAAGGTTTGCATTTTAGGGCAGTAAGAGGTCTGGTTGATGGTCAAACGTCAGACTGAGGAGGAACAATACAGGTGGTTGAAACAAGTTTTCTCTGAATGGTAGCTAGGCTCTCACAGACCCTGTTCACGCGGACACTTCTGCTGAACACGGGTTTTTTAGATGTTGATTCAGGTGAAAAATCCTCGTTTACACGGACCGCAAATGCTCATGGAACTGCTGAGTCTGTGGTTCTCATGCTGAGTCACTATAGCTGTGCTGTGAACTTTGTAAAAGAAAGGGTTATCTCATTTGAACCCTGTGTTGAGCACGCAAACATTTATTTGGAGACTGGAAAGCATGGCTAGTAGATGAAGTGTGGATTGATAACAAGGTCGATTGTTTTTGCTTAATGTGACTTTTCAGTTACAGAGCCTGCAATAGCCGAGAGTCTGAGCAATGTTCTCTTCCTCAATGGCTGTTGGAAAGGACTTTTCTCACAAAAAAACAGGCTGATTAAGGTTTAAACAGCTTAAAGTCGTGTGAAGCAAATACAGGCAGGCTGTAGACCCCAGTTGTTGAAGTGGGCATGAATGAGTCGCTCCCTTACACTTTGAGGTGAGGGAGGTTCGTCAGCTACTGTCATGCTGGAGTTCATCTACAAGGCTATGAATTGACACCAAGCAGGATTGCTTTGTCTACGAGACGCTCAACACCAGTTGCTGAGTAAACCAGAAATGAAGGCAGCGACGTCAGGCTTCTAACTCCCGAAGTCATCCTGCAGCTTTAAACCACAAAGTACTGAATCTCAACTAAGTATACATAAAACATCACTCATCTTTTCTGGATGCAAAGACATCTGAACAATTTTTTTTTGGTTGTTTTATGAATGAGTTGACATTTGTTGATATACACAGTTCTTACGTTGGAAAATGGTTAAAATCGACCCCACCAGGTAAGAAGAAAATACACACCCACACTTGTGAGATATAAAATGAACATAATACATGTATGAGATCTTGCTGTATAAAATGTTATTCAGGGGYGTTGCTTAAAACTCTGTGTATGTTCAGCAGAATATAAATTGCTGGCAGTCACAGTTGATAAGAAACAAAGGCTCCCATGAAATTCCATAGGAAATGAAAGCGGGTTAATTTTGCATGTGGTAGTTCCTGAAAAAATATAATGTATAAAAAATAAATTAAAAATTTTAATTGCATGAATTTAGTAACATTAACGACTTCTTGGTGACTCTGGATATTAGTGCCTCTGCGAGAAATACATAAAGTTAAGGCCCTGTCACACTATGACGTTTTAGACAACTTATGAAAAGTTTGTCAACACTAAAAATGTCTAAGCTGAAGGCAAATTTAAAAATCTACTGGAAACCTCTTAAGGCCCTATAAATACTGTAATTCTAACAATTAGATTGAATATATATCTGATGAGTAAAATTGAACATTTTCATAAGTTGGCACAAGTTGTCTAAAACATAGAGTGACAGGGCCTTCAAAAGTTACAATGTCAACTGTACAAATACTCTATACAACAATGTGAGGTTGATCAKTAACAAACAGGCTGGCAGCAAAGTCCCTATTGTTTCTAATTACGGATGTATGGAAGGGATCATTTAGAAAAGTCAAAGGATTCGAGACAGCACAGCCTCACCACYGTTACTTTATTACACAACACTTTGTGGTTAAAAAAAAAAAACTAAAGGATTGAATAAGGCTTGGATGTGACCATCTTCAACCTGGACAAATAATCTACCATCACCTCCACAGGAGACCACAGGACCCCACACGCTTCTGGTTCAGACGATTCAGATCTAAAACAYGTAGAAAGTTCAAACTTCGGAGCACTTTCAGGATGGACAGTTTTTAAAGCTACATGCTACAGATGATTCAGCTCAGAGTTTAGCTYGCAGCTTCAAATCAAACATTTTTGCACTATTACACAGTAAATCAAAACTGAAGTTTAAACTTTTTTTTCCCCTCAAAGATTGAACTGTGAATAAAGCAGAGCAGGAAGCCAGTATTCTCTTGGCATCACTGTGGCTCTTCAGGACAGAGAAAATTAAGACATTTCGTGCCTCATAATCACCACTTCTGACGATACGGTCAATTTCGTCAGAAGAAAAAAAATCTTTTGGGCTTTCCCCAGGTCTGAACTTTTTTCAGTTTGCACATTAAATTTCTAATATTCTTAACAATTAAGGAACTTACTTTTCTTGATTCAACTTTTCCCAAGAAAATCTCAGAAAATTGATAATTTAAGATCTTAAGCAGATGCAATTGTCTTTTTTCCACTGACAATTACAGAAACTTTGAACTAGGAAGATACTTGTTCTGACGTCCTGATTGCTGCAGCTCTATGCCCGTCATATGGCCCAAACTGAGGCAAAACAATTACTGGCAAGCATGAAGGCAAAGCTGTCCAGTTAACAAAATCTTTTAATACCAGGAAGAACCTGGGGCATTTCAGTCCAGATCCTCACGGAAACATTTGCTCACTTTAAAGGACGACTACATTTTTATTTTGCTTTTGAAGCTTAAGGAGACTTTTGGCAGAGAAAAAACCTTTCAAATGTGTCAGGGCATGGTCATAGCAGCTCTGTTGGCTTCAAATGACAGAGAACTGGTTAATACTGAGCCCCGAGAGAAGGCCAAACACATCTCAGGTTTTAACACAGTGCTTCTGTCAGTTCTCCCCCACTTTAAATAAACTGTAACAGTGTTCATCAGAAGTCACAAGTCCCCGAAGTGTAAACTTCAAAAACACATAAATTAAAGAAAAATGCATAGGTACATACAGTAGGTTCATAGATTAGAAACAAACTAGAAGTGGACTAAGAAAGAGGAGTTCCTATCTGTGTGTTTGTGAGCAAACATGACACACAACCAAGTGAGTTTTACAAAAGAAGGCACAGGATTTAGCATTTGTTTGACACCTGTAGGCAGCTTAGCTGATTTGAAACAATCGCCTCCCCCACAAACAGAGAAGAGAAGCAAGTTTAAAGCTAAATGTATGGATAGGAATACACAGGAAGGTACGATAAAGGATGTTAAGCTGGTATCTCACTGGACTGCGCCTGCTGGAGACGAGCTGGCCAACAAGTTGTGGGGAAGGCTACAAAATGTCTCGAAACGTTTGCAGGGGTTCCTCCACRTACTCAGCTGCGAGTTGCACCATTAAGACACATTTGTCTGCTCTTGCAGTTTTCTTGTTGTGCTAAAACTTGTGTTTTATTATTTAAGTCCTGCAGCAGAATAAGACAGAAAAGGCAGACTGTGTGAGAAGCATGAATCACTGCAATTTGGTCCTATGTTTAAGGCCACAGCTGGTAACTGGACCAGATTAGGAGGATTGGAAAAKGCCAGAAAACTGGACAGATGTTGTGGTGGAGGGTTAAATATTCTAAAATCTGAATTATTATCAGTATGTTTAAAAAGTGTTTTTACCTAAAATGCCCATTCATAATGAAGTCCTCATGTTCCGATCAAAACTGTATTTTGACACATGCACATTAGCTCGCCTTATGAGTTGAAAACATCTGAGTCTACAGCCTCAAATGTCCAGATCTACACCAAGGATAAAAAAATACAAAGAACTAAACAAACAAAAAACCCTGGTCTAACTCTTCATTTTCTAAGTGTACATTAAATCATGAATGTGGGTGGCTGCTGAAGTGAGTACAAAGGAGGCTGAGGCAGGTCCAGTTTTGGCAGAGGTCCGCAACTAAATACTGTGCACGGTCTAGAATACAGATGCAAGTCATGCAYGTAGAATTAAGTCACAATTTTCAAAAACTGGCCACTCTAAACACAGATGCATGAACAGCAAWCACAAACACTCAGAATTCAACGACATGACAAGAAAATTAATTGCGACTCTTCTCACAATCTCCAACAGTKGCAGTCCAGTGACATACTCGCTTTAGGGGAAGTGTAGATGGGGAGACAGAGAGTGGTGGTTCTTCAGCTCTGGTTATACTCCATAAGATRTAAGACATCAGATCTCGCTGACGTGATTGTGAGACTTTTTTCACATGGATAATGTATACTGAAAGAAAAACTGTGGAGGAGAAATCCTGCTAAGTTCTCCTGTTGTCCTCCCTCCGCAGCACAAACAGCGACACCACAGTGCCATGTTTGGCAGAGTGGATGTTTAGAGGAAGATCTGTCATTTCTGTTAGTCAGATGTGCTGCTTTGTAAACGTGTACAGAGACAGGAATGTGTCTACACTGCCCTGCCATGGTRCACTTCTTAACACAGCCATGGCTGCCTGGAGGAGGAGCCCTCTGCCTCAGACAGAAGACCCACCTGTTTGTGAGCTCTCTGATCCATGCACAAATGATCTCCTTTTTCTAAAGTTCTTTCACTATTTATCAATTTTATTTTGGCTAATTTTACAAATGCTGCTGGAAGTGTGGTAAAGACAGCTGTATTTTCTAACAGCCCCAGTCAGCTGATCCTCAGCAAGCCGCAATGAGATCCACATACTGCGGCCACTTTTCACAAACACACACATCCACAATGGTCGGACACACACTTGGCACACTTCTTGCAAAAAGTAGTTGTCAGGGGTTGGTGCACGAGACAGTGCGAGAGGCTATTTTTGTCATGCAACCACGTCAGCGAGACAATTTCTGACTTGTCATGAAGTATAAACCAGGCTTTAAGTTTTTTACAGTGGTTTGATGAGTCAGAATAAGGCTGCAGCTCTCAGTCACAGTTGCTCTAAACAGTCAGAGTGAAGAAAAACTCAGTAAGGCAGAGCGTGGTGGGGGGATGGCTGTAGTAGTGGTGGCTTTAATACACAGTCTGAGTTCAAAATGTCTACATTAAGGCCGCTCCAACGATGGGCCGCCATTAGGGAAAAGGCACTGTGATGCCCATTTCTGTCTGCCCGGACCCAGCCCTCCTCACCCCTCCCTGCCCCGGTTTGATCCGGTCGCTCACTGCAGCATCAGCTGCTTGAGGTTGTCGTGCAGGATGGTGTCCTTGACGTCGCGGAACACCAGCCGGATGTTCTCTGTGTTGATGGCTGTGGTGAAGTGGTGGTACAGTGGTTTCAGCTGCTGTTCGCGGCGCTTCTTGCGGAAACACTCCACGAGAAAGAACTGGACGTCTGACAGACAGGTGGGGTCGCCGGAGAACTCTGGGAAGTAGTCCTTAATGGAGACCTGCTTCACTTTCTCCTCCAGCAGGTCCGTCTTGTTCAGAAACAGGATGATGGAGACGTTGCTGAACACCCTGTTGTTCACAATGGTCTCGAAGATGTTGAGGGACTCGCTCAGCCGGTTCGTCTGCCGGTCTTCCATCAGCACCTGAAAGTGTCAGAACGCAGACGAAACAACAGGGATGACGTGTTTCTGTTTGATAAAAAGTACTTTGCTGAGCGTCTTAAAAAAGTTCCTTCTTTTTGAATTGTTTTTTTTTATCCCCTGCAGCTGAAAGACAAASGCAATAATCAATAATGTTTTGTCTGTGTCTGTGAATTTGTTAATGAAACTCTCAGAAAGTAATCARTGGATGTATATCTATTGCTCATMAAAGTTTAGAGTCAACCAAAGTCAAGACACTCATCACAGCCAACTGACAGTACAACAAAATGATAATAATGGCTGTAACCTGCTCAAATTTACAGATATTAGCTAAAGTTTAGAGTGGTAGTAGCTAAGGGTCTGTAAGACCTCATTTTGTAATAACAACACGTTATGTATTAATGTAATAAAATCAGGCTTCAAAATGTAATAAACTCACRCTAAAACTGCATTATGTAATAATTGACGCAAAATGTAATAAAAGTCTTCAMCACATTTTGTAAAACTCTCAGCCGCATTATGTAATAACGTTATTACATTGTGCGGCAATTGTTACCKAATGTGGTGGTGTGATAATCTGGKGCATTATTTAATAAACAATCAAAAACTGTCAYCCTAATCAATWTAMTTAACTTGTAATAACTSTCCTGTTGCAAATACTACATATTTAAATCTTTATAACTTTGGTCAATAAACACTGAACTTCTCATCTTTTATTTGCATTTTCAGTCAAATTCTTGCGTATTATTCTAAAAGTCGTTCAAGGTAGAACGATCAAGACATGTAAAACTTTTTTTTCCTAACACATTGGCTTCCAAAAAAAATGAAAATATATGATTTAAAGGAAAAAGGGTAAAGTTTCTGTTGGTATTAAATGAAAGAAGCAAWTGATCCAACAGTTTAATGSAAACAGAATCRCAACAATTTCCTGGACTTAAATAATGTGTTATATTAGTCAACCTCTTGCAATTAAAGAAGGAACACATTAAACTATATAAACAAAGTTGTCTTACTCAGAGCAGTGCAAGAGTTTCCACTAGTTCGAGGACAAAAACATGAACTTGAAAACTAAGGATGCAACACAGGGTCAATATGAAAACTGGRGGGCGCTTCTGTGAAGACTGGTTTCAGAGCGAAGGTACGTCTCTTTATTTAGATATCCTGTTAAAAATGTAAGATGCAGCCTCACCTACAACTCATGTTTCAATACCACCATGTCAAGCTGTAAGGATTGTCCGTAATTTACACAGATTTTATGTCATTTTGCAGGTATAGGTATAGAGCAATCTCACGGATTTTTGGAATGTTTTATGGAATCTTTCAAAAGCTTAGTTTCTAATTTATTCAACATGTCAGAGCCTGTAGGACGTTAAAAAACAATTATTAACATCAAATATCCACTTCCAACCCACTGTACTGCTCGAAACAAGTTCATCAACCCTCATTTCCTTCTGATATTGTTACAGCCGACAGTCCGCCTGCACCCCCCAACCCCCCTGCATGTGATTAATAAATTATTTTTGCGAAAATTACATATTTTTATGGCTCATTATACAGATAAACGTCTGAAGGGGTTGACATGTATGTACAACTAACTTTTAGATATACTGTATTTTGGGAGTTGTCTACAAAGTGAATAATTTCTGTAACAGGGATCAGGACAGTAAATCTGAAAATGCAAATAAATAATGAGAAGTTCAGTGTTTAACAAAGTTTTAAAGATTTAAATATGTAGTATTTGCAACAGGACAGTTATTACAAGTATATTGATTAGGATGAAAAGAAATACTGGTTTTTACTTGTTTATTGCATAATGCACCAGATTATCACACCACCACATTCGYTAACAATTGCAGCAAAATGTAATAACKTTATTACATAATGTGACTTGAGAGTWTTACAAAATGCRTTGAAGACTTTTATTACATTTTGCATCAATTATTACATAATGCGGTTTTAGTGCGAGTTYATTACATTTTGAAGCCTGATTTTATTACATTATTACATAATGCKTTGTTATYACAAAATGAGGTCTTACAGGGTCTATAACAACTCTAAGCATGAAATCTTGCAGTATCATATCACACTGTGTGCAATAGGAATGCTGATCAATTAATGAATTCAATAAAAGTTGATTGGTCTTAATAATCAACTAACAATTAACTGATGAGCGGCGATTCATATTAATGTGTTCYGTCTTCAAAATAAAGTTGGGTATGTTCTAACGTCTGACGTAAAAGGTAACACCTCCAGGGGGGGTAACCAGGCAGAGTTAAAAAGGTTAAAAGTTTGATTCATACAGTGAAGCAGACGTTTGTAGAAGAGATTTTCTGTTAGTTCTTGCTCTTAGAGCAGCTGTTAGAGAACTGCTTTGCTTTTCTGAGAAGGCGCCAAGGCCTTCTGACTGCTGAGGCCTGACTGTGTGAGCTGCCGGAGCTGAGTGGAGTCAGAGACGAGAATAAAGTTTTTACAAGACATTCACCTGGTTTTATGYTATATTCAGACTTCCATTTATTGATCACAAATTCCCTTCACATCATTATATTTTAATTTCTGTTAACATGTGTTCTGAACTGTAATTTCATTGTGCTTTGTAGAATGACAATAAAGTTTTATCTTATTTATTGTGCCAGCCTCCAAACTTCATTTAACTTTTGTGTCTTTTTTTTTTTCTTCATCCAGTAGAGTTTTTGCTGCTGGACAAATTTGGGCCTTATTAAAAAAAAAGGATCGGGGGTTTAGATTTTTCTGGCTCGAAAAAAAGAAACTGACTGTGGATTGCTGTGTTTTTTCCATGATACTGTATTATCTGCTGATTCCTGCTTGTTTCACAATGCACATCAAATTGACCTGTCTTTTATTTAAATAAAAGGTGTGTAAACTATTTATCATAACTCCGGTTTTACTTGGTGTATCAACAACTGGTTTAAAGTTTGAAGTTTCTACTTTTGACTGAAACAGAGCCRCAGAAAGGATGCATCTTTCCGATCTAAGCAGATGTTTTAAATTAATTGAATGGGACAGTTTTTAATCTAATAACCTATTAACCAACAATTAAGTAACAATTAACTAACAAGTATGCCTATTAATAGTTTGCATCCCGAGTGCACAACCTTATTTTTGAGGTTTGAATAAAAAGCTACAACTCCATCATTGAATGTGAGATGATTTTAGTTTAAAACTCTGGAATGAAAGGCGAAATGCCTTCCTCCCAAAGGATGCTGGGCCTTTAACAAAGCCATGTGACCACCCKTTGAAGATTTGAATGGAAACAGGAAGACATAAAGAGGACATTACGGACAGAAACTCAGAGTATCACACAGGTTCTGCTTTTGATCTGAGCCTAAGCTCTTGTCTCTTCCTCCACTAGTATTTCCTCTTTTTGGCAGTTTTTTTTCTTTGGGTACATTTTATCTTCTGCCTCGCTGTATTTTCCTACAGGTTTGTCATGTTTATCTGCTGGTGTTGTTGTTTGTTATTAAGACCAGTTCACACCAGTCTCAAAAACACTTGTCTAAAGGGAAACTCCTGACACCATTAGTTTAAATGAAAAATAAAAATCCTGGGATTTTTTTTGTAATAATCCAAGTCACTCAAAAGCAATCTGTCATTCTGTCCAGAGAGTGTGTATATACGGTACATCCACAGGCAACCTTATTAACTCTACCTTGCTCATGCTGTGCTGGACCTTCATTTTGATGTAAAAACTGTGTCATTTATTTGTGACATAGATGCAACAAGATACATTTCTGGGATATTAATTCCATGAATTTTCCAGTCATTTCTACAGACAGTAAATAAAAACTTGATCACTTGTATGGGTCACCTCGAGTGAAGAAACAAGATTCACTGCCTCGAAGCAGGCCTCGGACAGGCCTGACGAG